ACTGACCAACAGCAGACATAGACAAGAACACTCAGACAAAGGGCAGGTTGCAGTGAAGTGCCTCACAGCTTTGCGTAGCCCTGAGAAGCATCACAGCCAGATCTTCACGTAGTGTAAATTGTTTTATCCCCACTGGCTTCAGGGCATCATTTGAAAATCCGAGGCTAACTGTATTGTCATGAAATATAGAACTATCATTCTAGATATAGAGAGAAATTTCCAATGGGGGCAGGTATTTTTGTTTTGACTGGATTTTCTTCCCTTGGGTCTTTGTACTCTTTGTGCTACAGGTGAGCATGCAAGTGTCTTTTACATCACATCTTGCAAGACATTTACACAATCACACATGCATAGCCCATGCAATATTTGAGTTATCTCCAGGCAATTTTTATTTGTCTCTACACTGATGGTCTGACTGAGTGTCCAGTTGCTGACAATCTCTTACTAAAAATAATGATAATACTGTTGTAAGACAGAAGTTTTTTAAAAAGCAAAAGATGATTTAGTAGCTTGTATGTTGCTATAGGTCACCTACATTTACACATCATGAATCACACAAGCATGTTTTCATACATATTCATAGATATTTTAATCATCTTCATGTTTGTTTATATTCATGCAAAAAGTTTTTTAAAAAAAAACACATACATCACATCATGTGCTCACTTAGAGTCTGTGCAGCACCTGTCACAATGGGGCCCTGGTGCTACTGGCATACAAACAAATATTATATATGGAAGGTGCAGGGTACAGCTCAAAAAGTTTTCTTACTGTTTTATTGGTAGGTAAGATATTACTTGTTTAAAACAAGTATTAACTATTCATATATACTAATGGGGAATATCACATTACTAGAAGCAGTAGTATCTTATTTATCTGTAAAAAAAAGTTAAACTACAACCAATTTACAGTACAATCTATCAATACGAGCCATCAAAGAGCCTGTTATTATTCTGACTTTTATAATAGGTGGCTGCATAATCAAGTATAATAAATAGAGAGAAACTCTATCTCAGGGACTTGGATTTTACTGGCTGATAGACCAGGGTACGCAGCCACAATTAGCATAGGTTTCACTGTATTTAAAGCGGATTAGGTGATATTATTTTAATAAATGATTTGAATTTTGGGGAACTATATTGAATAAATTATTACAGAACTGAATATTCATGTTTCACAAGTTTTTCTAATAAAACATTTGTGAATATTTTCCCCATCTCCAACAGTCTGATCATGATTCATAGATTCCAAGGCCAGAATGGACCTTCTGTATCACACGGAGCATAGAACTGCCCCTAAATAATGCTTAGAGCATACATTTTATAGACATCCAATCTTGATTTAAAAGTTGACAGTAATGGCAAGTTCATTGTGACCCTTGCAAAATTGTTTTGATGGTTAATTATTCTCACTGTTGAAAATTTACACCTGGTTTTCAATCTGTATTTGTCTAGCTTCAATTTCCAGCCACTGGATTGTGTTATACCTTTCTCTGCTAGAGTCAAAGCCCACTGTTAAATATTTGTTCTCCTTGTACGTATGGCTAATTATTCTCACTTAAAAATTTATGCCATATTTCCAGTCTGATATAGGTGTCATCTCTACAGGAGCAGGATAATGATCCTGAGGAAGGACTGTGTTGTGGTGAATGCACTGGACTGGGAGTTAGGACACCTCAGTTCTATTCTAGACAGTGCTACATATTTCCTGTGTGATTTTGAGTAAGTCATTTAATTGCTCTGTGCCACAGCTCCAAAATTGAGATAATACTTCATCTGTCTGTTAAGAATGTAAGTTCTTTAATGTAGGGATTGTCTCTTACTATTTTTATCGCAGTGCCTACCACAATAGTTGGGGTTCCAGCAGCATAATAATAGTACTCTCTAATTCTGCTGGATGCTGATTGCCATCAATCTTTGCTAAGTTAAATGGAGTTTGTGTGTGCTTAGCACTGACACTATCTTGTCCCCAGACTTTAACTACATATGCATGAACCCCTTCTCTATTTATGGAAAAAGACATTAAGGGGAGAATATATAATCACATTTTAAATAAGTTATACACAATCAAAAAGATGTATAATGTTCTTTAGAAAAGTTGATGAAGAAACAAAATGATTTTATAATGCAATAAGTTGCTTTACATGGAAATTGTATTTATGGAGTGTTTATCTCTTGTATGCCTCTCTAAGGATTCCACAGAAGCTTGTCTACTCTCACATCCAGGTGTTAGCAAGTGACATCAAAAAATCACAGCACTTTCAAGTCAGAGTGAATGCTACAGGCTCTTAACTTTGAAGGAAAAAAAAGAGAGAACATTACAGTACTGTGCATTTAATTGAAATCAATTGCCAATCAAGAAGCATGATAAACAGTAATTAAAAAGAGTAGCTGGCTGCTATGAAGATTTTCATATATTATTTTCACACAATCAAAATCCAGAATCTGAGGCCATGGCTCCAAAACAGACATCCCATAGAAACTCAGTAGTATAGGAAACCTTTTACAGTGATCCAGTGTTGTTCTACCTGTGAGGCATCCAGATGAATTTATGTCTGTTATACATTCTTCCCTTCTAAAGGAAAATCTATGGCACTTTTATAGTCAGTAGTAACAAGTACATTTGTTCCTGCTGCTTTATCTGTTGCTCTCATACTTTAATTAAACTGTTTTAATAGTAATTTTATGTAAAAATCTAAAATGGATCTCTAGAAAACTTGACAGATAGTGTTTTGAAGGTTAATATCAGGTATCTGCTGTGAATCCTACATTAGCAGTCTCTACAGCTTCCAGAGACAACTTACCTTTGTCTTTTTAAATATTCAGGTACACTTAACCCCAGCTATACTCAAAAGAAACCAGTAAAGTATTAATTTACTCAATCTCAAAAGTTGTCTGAAATGCAACTTTTGCATGAACTGCAAGCTCAGAAATGACACTTTTTTATTTGACTGTGCTTTGCACTTTCAATTATACATTTCATGTGTTCTCTCTCAAATGCACTCTTTCAGTAGATACTTCCCCCTGCTGGGAAAAGATCAAATTGCATGGTGCAAGAAATATGCCCCTTTGAGCAATAAGGAATTTAGATTCATCATCTGCAAATTAGTATACCAGCTGTAAAAACTATTGTGATTGTTTCTGCAGCAGCAAGATAGGTATTATAAGTATATTAAATGTGTGTCATTATACACACTGGACTTCCCATTATCAGACAGAAGTACTCTATGAAAATCTAGATTCAGTAACTTTATTCTCAATCAGTAAACCATGTATTTAAAAAGACAATATGAAGGCTGCTGACCTAAGAATTGTTTTAAGTGCTAGCATAAAAAGTTCTAAATGCTTATGAATTTGCTTAAAGACATATGGAACTTTGGAAAATTATTCACTTTCCTAGATTTTAGGGTAGTTTACATTTGTGATGTAATATTTTAATAAGCTCATTACAGGTTTCTTTGTCTTAGTTTCATTTCAGATTTGGATACAGAATCTTGATTTATGCTTCATTGTCACTACTTCTCTTTTACATTTGTATCCAATTTAGACCATCTTTTAAAGAATCAACAATATATACAAGAAAAAGAAATAGAGAGCACGAGGAGAGTTTAACTGATTGTACTACTTCTGTTCTTGAAGTCCTCTTCAATAAGGCCTGTAGTCAATAACTAACTACATAGTGTAGTAAGAATGATAAAGTTTTAAAGTCTTCCTAATTAAGTAATTTAGCTGTCTTGAAATGCAGAAAATGTAGTTATATCACAAGCACTGATGATATAATGAAGACCAATTTGTGTCAAGGCAATACTTTAGATCACAGTACAAACCTAAGAGAAATGCATCAAGTCCTTAGTGAAATGATGTCATGAAATTGATATGCCATACAAAACAGAAAAGTCAACTGACAAAATGCTGCATTATAGATATAGTAGTGGATTTAGCTGTTATCATATAAACTGAAACATGATACTTAAACATGGAAAACAAGATGTAAGGAGTTTAATGAGAACCTAGCATCTGTCTTTGTGTAAATAAAATAAGGAACCATATAAAAGTCCTACCTAAAGAACCTACCCAATTGCAATACCTCATTTGCTCAATGAAATAAATCATTTTAATTACAAATCATTAAAAGACAGGTATTTCCAGTACTGAAAAATAAAATATACACCTTCATATATACAAATACAATTCTCAAAGCTGAAATTTGCCAAAATTAATGTTATAAGTTACTCCATACAATAGCTAGCAGGAGCTATTCCTGAACAAGCTTGAAAAAACTATTGCTAATAAAGCCGGGGGACAACATGCATCTCCCTATATAATAAATGTTCTCTGCCTTACTACAACAAACATATAAAACACAATCCATACTTTGCAAAGCAACTGGTCGTTGGTTATTTCCATGTACAGTAGACACAAGAGAGGGAATAACATCTTCCACAGTGTTTCATGGTCAGCGATGAAATTCTGATTTCCTTTCTAGTGTTCAATATTTCTACAGAAACCTGTGAGTGACGAGCTTAAAGAGCAACTCTGCACTTGAGAAAAGCTGCAGAAATACAGACTATAGTTCCTATACACACACTCTCTCACTAGCAATGTGCTGATCACAATTTACTTTAAATGCCCCCCACCCCCCATCTTTCCCACTTCAGAAGTGGGCATTTCTGTGAACGCTGCACTCTCTTGCTCATGTCACTGCCTGCGATGGCTAAGCCGATTAGTCATTCCTCATCCCGATAGCAAGTCTCAAGAATCTTTGCTGGTATCTCTCCCATCTGAAAGGTTTGGTCCCTCAAAAAAAAAAAAAAAGGTGGGGGGGGGGCAGGTGGGTTGCCATCTGCATGCCTGCTCCAGGGCGCGGAATGCCTTGGCTGAGTCCAAGGCGAGGCGCAGGATTCCGGTTGCTTGTACATGGCAGCACACGTCCCCTGGCTAAGAACACAGCAAGGCAGCGTGAAAGAGGCGAGACACACGCCAGGAGGAGCGAAGTCTTACCTTCAGCCAGGAGGCGCATTGCATGAACAAAGGACGGGTCCAGGCTGTCCTTCTCTGCCATCAGCTCGGGCAAATATTTCTCCTGCTCCATACTACCGCTGCTGCTGCTGCTCTGCACTTGGGACCGTCTGCCTGCCCTAGGTGCTGCTCGGATGCAGTGGCGTGGTGGCTTGGCCGACTGCTTATTGTTGCCTAATTCCCTCCCCCCGCTCTATGCACCTGGGCTCTCTCCGCTCCGCCGGCACGGACCTGGCCTGAACTCCACCGGGGTGCCCTGCCCTGCGCTGCCCCTCACAGCTACCGCGCGCTCCGTGCGTGCCTCTGCTCCTTCCACTGAGGTACAGCCTGGTCCCAGCGGCCTTAACTAGAGAGGCGGGAAGAAGCCCCCCCCCCACCCGCGCCTACCTCCCCACCCCGCTCATTGGTGGCTGCGCGCTGGAGGGCGGAGACCCGCAAGGCGGCGGTGAGCGGCTGCTGGCTCCGGCCCCCGCTGCCGGGGCGGCGGGCGAGGTGCGGGGGCTGCGCTCGCTGGCCAAGGTGCTGAAGCAGCGGGCAGGACGGAGCCGCCTGGGCCAGGAGCTGGGGCCGCAGCACCCAGAAGGCGGCGGCGGCGGGGGGAGGAAGGGGGAGCGAGCGAGGCTTCCCGAGGCTCCCTCACACCCGCAGCGCGACATAGGACGATTCCCAGGGTCGCTCTGAAGCCCTGGGTAGCCCCTGCCCTCCGCGGGCTAGGCTCTGGGGGAGCCCGGGTGGTAGGTGACCAAGCGGGGGCGGGGAAAGGATTTACAGCAGCAAAAGCGCTCCCCGCCCTTTCGTCCCACACTCGCGCATCTCCCCGCGCCGAGTCACAGGAGGGTCGGGGAAGTTTGACTGAGCCCAGCCGCCCTCTTCTCCCAGGAACTTTTTGCGGGTGCCAAGGGGATGCGGCACCTGGCCCAGCTGGGCTTAGCCCAGAGCCCAGGAAGGGGGAAGAGACGGCGGCTTGGGGAGCTGTTACCTGGGCGAGAGCAACTCCCTTGAGACTGCGAGCGGCGTGTCAGGAGCAGGGCGCGCGCGGCTGCTTAAACAGGGCACAACCCGCGGCGTCCCGGGGCTCGTGAGCACAGCGGGAGGAACAACGCTCCGGAGATACCCCGCGGCGCACAGGGCAAGAAGGGGAAGGCGACGCTTCCCTGACAGCGGCCCCTAAAGCTCCCGCCTTCGAGAATGAAAGCGGCTCTGCGGTTAAAGTGGCTGCAGCAAGAGTAAATAAAACGGAATGTATTGTCACTAGAGATGAACATTAAGTAAACTAGAGTTTATAGTAATTCACCCCCTCCAAAAAAATTATTCGTAAACAAAACATGTTAATACATGGACAAAGATCCCCGGGGCAATTTGAACCCGAGTTAAATTGCAAAAAATGACATTTTCTCAACACTCCTGTGTCTGCTTTTGCTCAGCGTCTAGGTGTAGCTCCCTTTACTTTTGACTTAAAATATTCTAATTGTATCAGTCAAATGACCAAACACCCTGGGTGTACTAATCCTGTTGTGGAGTGAGAGAAAGAGGAAGCAAATGTAAAAGTATGGACTGTAAATCTGTCAGCATATCCCAAGGGGTTCTGGAGTCATTATAACCACCATGACCGAGAAATTTGAGCTACCATGGCATCTATACTGCAAGACAAATGCAAATAGTGTTTCCACACCTTCCCTGCTATGTGTTCATAGTTGAGGGATTACACTTATTTACAAGAATATATTCAAAATGTCTCTCTGGCTCATGTGTTATTGTTTCGAGATTCTTCTTGAAAATTTTGAATTCATAGAGTTTGATTCAAAACACTTATGAAACAGGTCATTCACTGATAATAGGACTGTGTCAACCAGGGTGAGTGATCCAATCAGACTATTTCAGATTGAAAAAAGAAGGAGGGGGGAAGAGAAGATGAGTTCTTCTCTTTTTAATAAATAAATAAATTAATACATAATAACAACAACAGCTTAGAACTAGATTGTGAGCCCCTTGCTTCTGTTGGTCACTATATACCCCAAAAAGTAGTCTTTGATTAGTTTATAGACTTATGGAAGATGGCATTACAGGGTTAATGCTTTATCTAAGAATGTCACACAGTATGTATAGCTATAAGGACTTAAATGGCTTAGAACAGGGCTAGTCAATAAATAGGTGGGCCACAGGTCAAATCCATACCACCAGGTGCTTTTGAATTCATCCTGCATTTATTATCGTTGTTATTTTTTGTTCTTTTTTGGTGTCTGAACGTTGACTATACCGTCCTAAAGAATAATTGACGACCCCTGGCTTAGACCTACCCTACTAAGAGACCATCTTTCTCCTCATGACACATTGCCACCTTTACATTCATTGGAAAAGTTCAAGCTGGATTCTCCTGATTCAAGAAAGAGAAAGAGGGGTGGTATCAGGGGGCCTTCAGTGCTAACCTATGTCCTCCCCACTCTGAAATAGCCCTGGTCTTTTAGCCTTTAGGACACACTGCAGGAGTGACATAGCCAGTGGGCTGCTGCAGAGGGTAAGTTTTGTTGGGAGTTTGATCTGTAATGTAGAGGAGTTGTGTTCTGCTGGCTGTTCAATTTTACTTGTTCCATGTAATTTATGGAAGGGCACCTAAAGCCTTGATGAGATTACTCTTTGAACTTTTATACCACTCTAAAGTGACCTCAGCCAGTAAGAGCTTAAATCACATTAACTTTCAATGATACTTAAACTGCTAAGTCACTAAGAGGCTTCTGAAAATTTTACTTTAAATCTCATTTTAAAAAAAATATTTCATGAAAGTCTGTCAGACATGACATACAGATTTCAGATGACATTTTAATCATGAGGTGACTGCTTTGCTAGTTAGGAGCTTGGATGTTTGCTATATCCACTAAAAATCAAAAAATGTATTTTACATTTGTTTGGTTTGTTGTTTCAGATTAAGCAAAGTGTTTCTGTGTTTTAATAAGTCTAATAAAGGAGAGATCACAGCAGACCTCTGAAAGAAGCAGAGGCTCTAAAAGATCAGCAACAATAGTTTAATACTTTGAACACCAGTGCATGGATTTACTATCCCCTTACACTCTTGTATTGATAAGAGAGTATGTTAAACCACCATCCTTACTGGTGAAAGCTTTATGATTACCTATAAGTGGCAAAAATGTAAAAAAAAAAATCTAATTAAATCATAAAAAGTGTCCACCTGCCCTCATGTTTTTTTGGGGGAGGAGGGGATGGGGGGGCTGTAAGGAGGGGGAGTCAGTATTAAAATTATAAATTCTTCTTAGATATGTAAAAAAGAGTTTTCTACTTGCAGTTTAATGTCAAAAAACTGTATAAAAGGGGAATCATTTGAACGATTACAGCTAGAGATAAACATTCCCCACTTACTCTTAACAAGAAGCATTACTCCAAAGTAAAACTGTGATGACACTGATTGATCCTTGGCACACCTACCCTGTTTTAATTTCCTGCCCCCGGGCTTCAATTCTTGAACTCAAAGGACAGCATAGGTGTGTATATGTCTGCATGTCTCCAAAGCTTCTGGTTACGTATTTTAAAAATTAGAATTAAAGTTCCAGAAGTCCACTAATAATATATAGCAGCATTAGCTACCTAATTAGATTGTCATTAGAAATAAAAGAGTTTTTAATTGATGGCCTCCATTTCTGGGTGTCAAATTTTAGGGCCAAAATGTACACTCACATGTATCTGAGAAAATATACAGTCCTAGTTGTGCAGACAAGTTGTTTGCCTGAGTAGTCACATTAAGGCTTGTCTCTCTCACCAACAGAAGTTGGTCCAATAAAAGATATTACCTCACTCACTTTGTCCCTCTAGTCACGTTAAAGTCAGTCAGTTTGACAATTTAGCTCACTAGATTTACTCATGAGCATGTTCACAGGATCAGGGCCAGCTCCAGGGTTTCTGCTGCCCCAAGTTGCAAAAAATCCCAAAAACTTGCCGCTGAATGGGGAGGCGGAATCCTGCCCACCGACCATGGAGGTGGAGTGATGGTGCGGCCACTGAATTGCTGCCAGCGACCAAAGAAGAGTCGCGTCCCTGCTGCCGAATTGCCACCAAGCGTGAAACGCGCTGTGACAGAGCGGCTGCCAAATTCTTGCTGCTGCCGAGGGCACATTGCTGCCCCAGAGCCTGACATCCTGCCGCCCCTTTACATTTGCCACCCCAGGCATCTGCTTGGTTCGCTGGTGCCTGGAGCTGGCCCTGCACAGGAACAGTCCCTTTGATACTTAAGGACAGATATGTTAAAGGTATTCTGCAACTGCAACTCCTATGACCCTAGTCTTTTTTCTGGGCTCCTGAATGGACTATGGCTTGGGGGAGGAATCAGATTTAGGTGTGTCTCATCAGCTGTGTGAGTCTTCACCCTTTTACCCAATCTTTTTCAAGATTCCAAGGCCAGAAAGCACCATTGTGATCATATAGTCTGATCTCATCATGACTAGGACCCTACCAAATTCATGGTTCATTTTGGTCAATTTCACAGTCACAGGATTTTAAAAATCATAATTTTCATGATTTCAGCAATTTAAATCTGAAATTTCATGATGTTGTAATTATAGGGGTCCTGACCCAAAAAGGAGTTGTGGGGGGAATCACAAGATTATTTTAGGGGGGTTGCGGTACTGCTACCGTTACTTCTGCACTGCTGCTGGCAGGGGGGCTGCCTTCAGAGCTGGGCAGCTGGAGAGCGGTGGCTGCTGGCCAGGAGCCCAGCTCTGAAAGCAGAGCCACCCTCAGTAGCAGTGCAGAAGTAAGGGTGGCATGGTATGGTATTGCCACCTTACTTCTGTGTTGCTGCTGCTGGCAGAATGCTGCCTTCGGAGCTGGGTGTCCAGCCTCCCAGCTCTGAAGGCAGTGCAGAAGTAAGGGTGGCAATACCATGAGCCCCTGCAACTTTTGGGTCAGGATCCCCAATTTGAGAATTGCTGGTCTCCCCTGTGAAATCTGTATAGTATAGGGTAAAAGCACACAAAAGACCAGATTTCCTGGGGGAGACCAGATTTCACAGTCCCTGACATGTTCTTCATAGCCATACATTTGGTAATCATGACCCCTAGATTTTTTTCAGAATCAATGCCTCCGAAGGTAGAATCTCCCATCCTGTAAGCTTGGACTCCATTTTTTGTCCCTACATTTGGGATCAAGGTGGAGTGGGGCAGCACGACAGATGGGAGCAAGGTGCCTTGCCGAGCCCCCGCCATGATTCTTCACTAGTGCCTCGTATAATCCCTTCAGTTTGGGAGCTACGATCTTTGTTTATGTAGGGCCCAATTCAAAGCCCATCGAACTCAATGGAAAGACACCTATTGATTTCAATGGATTTTGGATCTGCTGTTTACTATCTTAAACAGTGAAAAAATCAGAGATATAGAACAGCCTCATTAAAAAGTGTATCATTATTTGGTACTTTTCTCACCATATCAGCTAATACCATATTCCTTGCTGTCACCTTGGTCACTACCCAGACAGCTTCCACATTGCCTTCATTCCTCAGCCTAGGCTCACCCTCTGAGTCTGCCCCCTCTTTGCTGTTACTCCCTTTTATATCCTCCCAATCACAGAGCCAATTGCCCCATTAGCCCAGCTATCTCTGCCCAATTAGCCCAGTAATCCCCAAGAGAAGTTGATTAATTATCTTCACTTAAACCTGAACTCTTCACAGTGCCCCAAGCTCAGTGACTGGAGTGATACTAGTAGTGCTATGCCACACTTGCAATATTCCTTATATGCCCACAGCTCCAGTGGGATTTGATGGGAGTTCCAGGTGTGTACAGGAATGCAGGATCATGGTGTTAATTTATGTGATCTGTGTCACAAGTTCCCAGTATACCAAAAACATGCATCAAATGAAATTATCTACAGTACAAGTCTATTTAACATTTATAGTGCTTAATATGCTGAAATGAAGAAATAACTGAATGGATGACCCATCATAGGCACAATTAATGGAAATACAATTTCCCTGCAAGGCACATAAAAGCAACAATCCATAACATAAATGAAGCCAAACGAGTTTTGATTTTTTAAATCCCAAAAGCCAAATGGTAAGTCACCAATAAAAGGTAGAAAATCCTTAAATAAAATTAATTAGACCACAAGCTAGAAAGGCTAAACACACACAGAAAAAAAAATAGTCCAGAATGCCTGGTCACTCTCCTCCATCACACTGATGATTCCACCATTGTCAGCCTGTAGAGAAGACAATCTAATTTTTGACACAATTCTCTCCATTTTCCACCACAATCAGCTGGTCACCAAATCCTACCCCTTGCTTGTTCATTCTCAAAGTTTCATTTTCCTTTCTATCTCTGCCATCTCTCCGCTAAACTATTACAACCTTGTTCTTGCTGACCACCTTTATTCCCACCTGATCCCCTGAAAACTGCCAAACTGCTGCGATGGGAATCTTCATTGTATACCTTTTGATCATATCACATTCTCCACCTTTACCTCCACTGGCTTCTTCTAGATTCCTACATCAATTTCATTCTTCTCATCCTTACCTCCAAAGTTCTGTACTATTCTTTTCCAGCCCACATTTCTGCTCTTATCTCTTTCCACTTTTCCTCTCACTCATTTCACACATCATGTCCAATGATTGCTTTTATATCCTTTTTCTACTCTCTTACAGGTGCTCCTTACATTTGCAACACCCATTCCATCCAAGTATGAAAACTACCCACTCTGTTTAAATTCCTCTTCAATACCAAAATCTTTCATAAAGAATGACAGTCATAATCCCAATTAAGTCCTATTATCTAACAACTTGAACATACATAAGCCTGTACTCCTCTGTTATGAGCACAGTGGCATGGTGACATTTTTTTGGATACCTGATGCTTTATGTGCCAATCTACTCTTTATTTTTAAACTATAAACTCCTCAGGGCATGTATATAAAATGACATTTTAGTATGCAGATTTGTTTCCTATGTTTATTCATATCTGTTTACTGACAAAAAGTTGTGGGAGGTTTTTTTGGTGTGTGCAGGTTTGTTTGATTTTTGGCTATTTAATTCCTGCTATTAACAGAGAAATATCATAGCTCTGGAAATAGAGCTTGATTCTTTTCTGGGACGTATGTTTGTGTGGTGTAGGCCACTTAGCCCTGGTCTACACTAGGACTTTAGGTCGAATTTAGCAGCGTTAAATCGATGTAAACCTGCACCCGTCCACACAATGAAGCCCTTTATTTCGACTTAAAGGGCTCTTAAAATCGATTTCCTTACTCCACCCCTGACAAGTGGATTAGCGCTTAAATCGATGTTGCCGGCTCGAATTTGGGGTACTGTGGACACAATTTGATGGTATTGGCCTCCAGGAGCTATCCCAGAGTGCTCCATTATGACCGCTCTGGACAGCACTCTCAACTCAGATGCACTGGCCAGGTAGACAGGAAAAGAACCGCGAACTTTTGAATCTCATTTCCTGTTTGGCCAGCATGGCAAGCTGCAGGTGACCATGCAGAGCTCATCAGCACAGGTGACCATGATGGAGTCCCAGAATCGCAAACGAGCTCCAGCATGGACCGAACGGGAGGTACGGGATCTGATTGCTGTTTGGGGAGAGGAATCCGTGCTATCAGAACTCCGTTCCAGTTTTCGAAATGCCAAAACCTCCCAGGGCATGAAGGACAGAGGCCATAACAGGGACCCGAAGCAGTGCCGCGTGAAACTGAAGGAGCTGAGGCAAGCCTACCAGAAAACCAGAGAGGCGAACAGCCGCTCTGGGTCAGAGCCCCAAACATGCCACTTCTATGATGAGCTGCATGCCATTTTAGGGGGTTCAGCCACCACTACCCCAGCCGTGTTGTTTGACTCCTTCAATGGAGATGGAGGCAATACGGAAGCAGGTTTTGGGGACGAAGAAGATGATGATGAGGAGGAGGTTGTAGATAGTTCACAGCAAGCAAGCGGAGAAACCGGTTTTCCCGACAGCCAGGAACTGTTTCTCACCCTAGACCTGGAGCCAGTACCCCCCGAACCCACCCAAGGCTGCCTCCTGGACCCAGCAGGCGGAGAAGGGACCTCTGGTGAGTGTACCTTTTAAAATACTGTACATGGTTTAAAAGCAAGCATGTGAAAGGATTACTTTGCCCTGGCATTTGCGGTTTTCCTAGATGTAGTCCTAAAGCCTTTGCAAAAGGTTTCTGGGGAGGGCAGCCTTATTGCGTCCTTCATGGTAGGACACTTTACCACTCCAGGCCAGTAACACGTACTCGGGAATCATTGTAGAACAAAGCATTGCAGTGTATGTTTACTGGCATTCAAACAACATCCGTTCTTTATCTCTCTGTGTTATCCTCAGGAGAGTGAGATATAATTCATGGTCACCTGGTTGAAATAGAGTGCTTTTCTTCAGGGGACACTCAGAGGAGCCCATTCCTGCTGGGCTGTTTGCCTGTGGCTAAACAGAAATGTTCCCCGCTGTTAGCCACAGGGAGGGGGGAAGGTTGAGGGGGTAGTCACGCGGTGGGAGGAGGCAAAATGCGACCTTGTAACAAAAGCACATGTGCTATGTATGTAATGTTAACAGCAAGGTTTACCCTGAAAGAGTGTAGCCACTGTTTTATAAAATGTGTCTTTTTAAATACCGCTGTCCCTTTTTTTTTCTCCACCAGCTGCATGTGTTTCAATGATCACAGGATCTTCTCCTTCCCAGAGGCTAGTGAAGCTTACAAAGAAAAAAAAACGCACTCACGATGAAATGTTCTCCAAGCTCATGCTGTCCTCCCACACTGACAGAGCACAGACGAATGCGTGGAGGCAAATAATGTCAGAGTGCAGGAAAGCACAAAATGACCGGGAGGAGAGGTGGCGGGCTGAAGAGAGTAAGTGGCGGGCTGAAGAGAGTAAGTGGCGGGCTGAAGACAGGGCTGAAGCTCAAATGTGGCGGCAGCGTGATGAGAGGAGGCAGGATTCAGTGCTGAGGCTGCTGCAGGACCAAACCAGTATGCTCCAGTGTATGGTTGAGCTGCAGCAAAGGCAGCTGGAGCACAGACTGCCACTGCAGCCCCTCTGTAACCAACCGCCCTCCTCCCCAAGTTCCATAGCCTCCACACCCAGACGCCCAAGAACGCGGTGGGGGGCCTCCGGCCAACCAGCCACTCCACCACAGAGGATTGCCTCAAAAAAAAGAAGGCTGTCATTCAATAAATTTTAAAGTTGTAAACTTTTAAAGTGCTGTGCTTAAAGTGCTGTGTGGCATTTTCCTTCCCTCCTCCACCACCCCTCCTGGGCTACCTTGGTAGTCATCCCCCTATTTGTGTGATGAATGAATAAAGAATGCATGAATGTGAAGCAACAATGACTTTATTGCCTCTGCAAGCGGTGATTGAAGGGAGGAGGGGCGGGTGGTTAGCTTACAGGGAAGTAGAGTGAACCAAGGGGCGGGGGGTTTCATCAAGGAGAAACAAACAGAACTTTCACACCATAGCCTGGCCAGTCATGAAACTGGTTTTCAAAGCTTCTCTGATGCGTACCGCGCCCTACTGTGCTCTTCTAACCGCCCTGGTGTCTGGCTGCGCGTAACCAGCAGCCAGGCGATTTGTCTCAACCTCCCACCCTGCCATAAACGTCTCCCCCTTACTCTCACAGATATTGTGGAGCACACAGCAAGCAGTAATAACAGTGGGAATATTGGTTTCACTGAGGTCTAAGCGAGTCAGTAAACTGCGCCAGCGCGCCTTTAAACATCCAAATGCACATTCTACCACCATTCTGCACTTGCTCAGCCTGTAGTTGAACAGCTCCTGACTACTGTCCAGGCTGCCTGTGTACGGCTTCATGAGCAATGGCATTAAGGGGTAGGCTGGGTCCCCAAGGATACATATAGGCATTTCAACATCCCCAACAGTTATTTTCTGGTCTGGGAATAAAGTCCCTTCCTGCAGCTTTTGAAACAGACCAGAGTTCCTGAAGATGCGAGCATCCTGCACCTTTCCCGGCCATCCCACGTTGATGTTGGTGAAACGTCCCTTGTGATCCACCAGAGCTTGCAGCACTATCGAAAAGTACCCCTTGCGGTTTATGTACTCGGCGGCTTGGTGCTCCGGTGCCAAGATAGGGATATGGGTTCCGTCTATAGCCCCACCACAGTTAGGGAATCCCATTGCAGCAAAGCCATCCACTATGACCTGCACATTTCCCAGGGTCACTACCCTTGATATCAGCAGATCTTTGATTGCGCTGGCTACTTGCATCACAGCAGCCCCCACAGTAGATTTGCCCACTCCAAATTGATTCCCAACTGACCGGTAGCTGTCTGGCGTTGCAAGCTTCCACAGGGCTATCGCCACTCGCTTCTCAACTGTAAGGGCTGCTCTTATCTTGGTATTCATGCGCCTCAGGGCAGAGGAAAGCAAGTCACAAAGTTCCATGAAAGTGCCCTTACGCATGCGAAAGTTTTGCAGCCGCTGGGAATAGTCCCAGAACTGCAACACTATGCGGTCCCACCAGTCTGTGCTTGTTTCCCGAGCCCAGAATTGGCGTTCCACAGCATGAACCTGCCCCATTAGCACCATGATGCATGCATTGGCAGGGCCCATGCTTTCAGAGAAATCTGTGTCCATGTCCTGATCACTCACGTTACCGTGCTGACGTCGCCTACTCACCCAGTATCACTTTGCCAGGTTCTGGTGCTGCATATACTGCTGGATAATGTGAGTGGTGTTTAATGTGCTCCTAATTGCCAAAGTGAGCTGAGCGGCCTCCATGCTTGCCTTGGTATGGCGTCCGCACAGAAAAAAGGCGTGGAACGATTGTCTGCCGTTGCTCTGACGGAAGGAGGGGCGACTGACGACACGGCTTACAGGGTTGGCTTCAGGGAGCTAAAATCAACAAAGGGGGTGTCTTTACATCAAGGAGTATTTCAGGCAGGACTTCACGGAGGGTTCCAATAAGAAATGGTGCACCTAAGTTATCGTTCTTATTGGAACAAGGAGGTTAGCCTGGCCTCTGATTGATACATGGCTAGATTTACCTCGCTGCACCTTCTCTGTGAGTGACTGCAGTGTGACCTAGAGGAATGAGTCCCTTAGACAGGGGAGGAGGCAAATGAGTACAAAACAAATCTGGTCTATTTCTTGTTTTGACCCACTCCATCTATCTTTTACATCTTTGGCTGGCAGCAGACGGTGCAGAAGGACTGCATGCCATCCACATCTCATGGCTGCTCGGCAGAAGATGGTACAGTACGACTGCTAGCCATCCTCATCTCTTGCCTGCCTGGCAGAAGATGGTACAATACGACTACTAGCAATCCTCATCTCTTGCCTGCCTGGCAGAAGATGGTACAGTACGACTGCTAGCAGTCCGTATCGCCTGCCCGCTCACCATAAGACGGTTCAATAGGACTGACTGCAGGACTAAAGAGAATGACCTGGTCAAGTCACTCCAAATTTAGTCCCTGCGCCCATGTCTGCCCAGGCGCTCCCAGCCGACGTGGCCAGGAGCACCTCGGACATGACGATGACGGCTACCAGTCGTACTGTACCGTCTGCTACCACAAGGCAAGGGGTTGCTGCTACTGTGTAGCAATGCCGTACCGCGTCTGCCAGCACTCAGGAGACATAGGGTGACGGTTACCTGAGCGGGCTCCATGCTTGCCGTGGTATGGCGTCTGCACAGGTAACTCAGGAAAAAAGGTGCGAAACGATTGTCTGCCCTTGCTTTCATGGAGGGAGGGAGGGAACGGGGGCCTGACGATATGTACCCAGAACCACCCGCGACAATGTTTTAGCCCCATCAGGCATTGGGATCTCAACCCAGAATTCCAATGGGCAGCGGAGACTGCGGGAACTGTGGGATAGCTACCCACAGTGCAACGCTCCGGAAGTCGACTCTAGCCTCGGTACTGTGGAAGCGCTCCGCCGAGTTAATGCACTTAATGCACTTCGAGCATTTTCTGTGGGAACACACACACTCAAATATATAAAACCGATTTCTAAAAAAACGACTTCTATAAATTTGACCTTATTCCGTAGTGTAGACATACCCTTAGTGAGCACTTCCTCGTGGGAAGGGGTTGCTTTGCAGGCACCATGCCCCGTTAGACTCCTCTTAAGGCCCCTTAAGAACTCCGCACCATCTTTCTTGCAGCTGACAACATGCCTGCTCCTGATTTAACAAAAGAAAAGGTTCAAACAATCCTCAGAGACCGCAAAATAAAGTCCGTTACACAACAGTCAACTCAAATTCTTCTGCCACACACAAAGCTCTTCCTCTGTCCCAATCTGCTCCACACAAAGCCACCAGTTACAGCCCTTTCTGGCTGACCTTCTGGCCCTAATTTTCTTCTCCTGTTAACCGCACCCTGCAGCTTCCTGGTGCTCTTTATAAAGGAATCCTCTGATCCACCCCAGGTTTGCCTCTTAAGTAAATCAGGGTTGGCTAGCCTTAGCCCTCCAGCCCATAAGGGGCAAGCCATCCTGGTAGAGTCTGAAATGTGTGTCTTAAGTACACCTCTAAAGTTAATAGCATAGAGTATTAGAGTTATGGGCAGGAAATAGTGATAGTAATCAAGTTGGTTAGAGTGAGGATAATGGAACTGGGGCAGGGGTTGGGAAAGCATTCGATGCAAGGAAGAAGTCTGGAAAGAGTAATATTTCCTAATTATTTTCTTTTACCAATGAATCTACTGGCACTATTCCAAGGTAAATAAGCCTCATCCCTAAATGAAGGATGCAAAAAGCATCCAAACAGCAAGACAGAAGTCGAGTCACAATAGTAGAATTCCATTTATTTGAGTCCCAACCCTCTGCCCCAACCACTCTCTTCTTGTCTTTGATTCCCATCTGTCAGCTCATCAGCGACTAAGGGGCCAAATGAAGTCTTTCCAACACTTTCCTTCTATCTTGTACCAGCTTCATGGCTTTGTTTATCTTCAATACTTTTTGTTCTGCCATTCTTTGGTCTTCCTTTATTTCTAGTTCCTTGCACTCTGATATGTAGCACCATAGATGGTATCCTTTGCAGATCTATTCTTGACAGATATCCAAACTATTACAATAATCTTTCTTGTTATTTCTTGCCTAAGCTGTTTTCTCTCTTCATTTTTTTTATTTTCTGCAGTGTTGAAACTCTCAGTATTCCCCTCTGCGAGTTCATTTCTGAAGTCAAAATCTTTTGTTCATCATCTTTGCTCATATTCCAGCATTCTGACCCATAGAGCAGTAGTGTCATGGCAGTTGTCTCATATACGCTGACTTTTCTTTTTATCAAAATGTCTTTAGCTTTCCAGATCTTGCAGAGTTTTCTGGATCCAGTAGCGGCTAGTCTGATTCTTCTTTGTCTGTCATCTTAACAATTCCCATTCTTCTATACTAGTCCTCCAAGTTACACCATGATTTTCCACTGATCTTTACCTCTCTTTCCTGTCTTCTCCTTGCCATATTTTTGTCTTCTCCATGCTGATCTTCAATTTGATTTTTTTGCTGTCCTGGTCTACCTTGTCACATACTCTTTGTCAATCCTCCTTGGTCAATATCATCTGTGAATCTAAGGTTATGCATTATCTTACTACATAACTTGACTCCTCCCATTTCATCTTTCAGTACTACAGCACTTATTGCTTCAAGTACCACGCTGAACAAATCTGGGGGTAGCGTGCAACTTTACCTCACAGCTACAGTCATCCTGAACCATTCCATCAGCTTCTTGTTTATTCTCGACACTCTCAACTTGTTGTAGATATTTTTCAGGCATGCCATACATTTGCATAACTTGCCATAACCCTTTCTGCCAAATGCTATCAAAAGCCTGTTTGAAGTCTATAAAGGTGTTGTAACAGGTTCACTTGTGTTCTATGCACTTCTCTTATATCTGTCTTATCACAAAATAACTGATCTATTGTACTTCTCCCTGGTCAAAATTCAGCCTGTTCCTCTGCAAGCATCACTTCCACATACCTCTTCATTCTCCTCTGCAACAACATCTTAGTGAATGCTTTTCCTGGCACACTCAATAAGCTTATTCTTCTCTAGTTCTTGGACTCACTCTTATTTCCCTTTTTATAGGTTGGTACTTTTATCACTTTCCTCCATTTGCTTGGCACTTGTTCTTGTTTGTGAATCTTATTAAATAGCTTATGCATTACCTTTAATGTGTGTTGCTCTCCCGCTTGCAGCAACTCTGTTATTACGGTGTCACTTCCCAGTGACTTTCTTTTTCAAGCTTTCTATTGAGATCTTTACTACTCCTTCTAAAAATTCTGGCATCTGCTGTCCTTCATTTTCCAGGACTGTTTCATCTACTGTGTACAGCTCTTCCGAATCTACTGTATTGTATTGCACATTATTGGGAAAAAAA